GATTTGCGTTAGGTTGTTCGCCACCAAAGTCCATGACTCTCACTCATTATGAGGTTTACACAGGAGTCTCACTCATCACTCACAGTCTACTCATTTACATTTGAAATTGATTAAGCTTATTCATCCTTCCTTGTCCTCTTTCCATTTTAGATTTAGATTTCTAAACTTTATTTATGAGTGATTTATACAAATCATTACTGATGTGGCTGGAGTGTACAGGTGTACAGTTGTGGTTGGAGTGTACAGGTGTACAGTTGTGGTTGGAGTGTACAGGTGTACAGTTGTGGTTGGAGTGTACAGGTGTACATTTGTGGTTGGAGTGAACAGCTGTATGCAGTTGTGTCGCCTGTCAGTTGTAAGGGTTCCCCAGGTACAGAGAGTTGTAGTGTAACCATATGAGGAATTATAGCTCCTTTGGACTTACTTAAATACACGCAGACAAGCCTCACAACTTGTGAGATAGCAACACAAAGAAATTTACATATCTGTCAAGGAAACCGAGAACAATGGAGACAGATTCATCGCCCCAAAGAGGCTCTAAGAGGATGGGTATGCATAATAAATTAACTAAACTAACAAAAACAAACATTTTTAACCTTGTTGATGACCTTTCTTCAGTGAAACGGAGTGAAAAATACACATTTAAACATTAACCGGCACCCAATCCACTTAGGGTAGGTCACATGACTTAGTGTCAGTTGGACATGAATGGTCATAGGAGTTAGATGTGTGATTTTTCTCTTCTACTTACCTTCTCGCGTCTACAAATTCATGCTACTTATATGTAGTAATTGCTTTCCTAAATTTGGGGTCGGAAAATGACATGGCAATATAGATTACAATCCACCGTTAAAATTCATTTATCTGAAAAAAGACATGTTAATGGGTAATAGCCTATGTTTGGAATATCTTTTCTTCGTCTAATAGGCCATGTAGGGGATTTGCAAATGATGATGATTCACTATAGTGATTCACTGGGGTATCAGAGAGGAAAGTGAATGTTCGCTAGCCAATCAGATGGAGGAGAGTTACCGCAATATGTCACCTGAGCTCATTGGTAGAGCTTAAAAGCTTTCAACCAATCAGAATTAACTTCGGTTTCTCCCCTTATCATTGGCTCAATCACGTCACCTGACATATACTAACAGCAATGATGTCAGCACTGCGTTGAGCGCCATCCCTTTTCCCGCCATAAAAACAACAACGGCAATTCCATGGGCAGAAAATATATACGGCGTCATAACGCCAATGAATGTGCATCATAAGTGGAGTCATATCTTTCCTGTGAGTTGCTTATCTGTTTGACTTTCATGAGGAAAACATAATGTTGTGAAGAACTACGCATTGTCCTGGTGTCTCGCTCCCTACACACTCTCACTCTCTGCTCGCTGTATCCCTTTCTCTCCCCCCTACCCTCTTTTATCTCTCCCTCCCTCCCTCTCCCTCCCTCCCTCCCCCTCCAGCTACTTTTCCCCCCTGTCTCCTATTACTCTCCCCTCCACCCCCTCTTTTCACTTATCTTTCTCTCCTCTCTACTCCACCTACAACCACCTACACCATCTCCCACCTCTCCTCCCCTCTTCCCTTCTCCGTTCTTTCCCTCTCCTGTCTTCTCTCCTTCCCCTCTTTCTCAACATTCCTCCTCCCCTCTTTCCCCCTACCCCTCTCTCTTCCTTCCACACCCTTGTTCTTTCCCTTCACAAGTGTTTTGTTTGATGTTAATTCGTTCTCATTTGTTGAATTAACATCATACAAAACGAGTGCCTTATGGACCCGTAGACCACTGAGCTACAGTAATAATCTTATACTCTAATTACCAACAACGACAAGTTACAGCCCCGCTCCTGTGCCAGGTGAGTCCACTACGGGCTCACCATAGCCCGTGCTACTTGGAACTTTTTGTTCTCAGTAGCTGAATCTTAAACAACAAATAACCAACCACGAGACGAAAAACCTCAGTGACGTCATTCACCACTACGTAGAAAGTAGTATAGGAATGAACAACCTAATTCTCACTCGCCAAATATTGTACATTAGTTCAGATAAAATCAAATTGGATGAACATAACCGCAGTAGCTAAGATTACCGTCAACAACCCGTCCTCTCAGCTAACAAGCTCCTTGTCTTTCTACGATACTGAAACTGACGTTGTAAATGGTACGAATTACGAATAGTAACGTTTGTGGATAGGCTAAAAGTCGCAAATCAAGAGAAAAGCTACGTTGAAACCATTTACTACGATATGTGTTTGTATATATATATATATATATATTATATATATATATATATATATATATATATATATATATATATATATATATATATATATATATATATATATATATATATATATATATATATATATGTGTGTATATCACGAAAATAAACACGTGATTAAGAATGTGACAATGTCAGACCACGGAGGAAAAATGAAACAGGAAATTTCCTTAAGTACTTTCGTATATTAAATACATCTTCAGAAGGTCAAGACCTTCTGAAGATGTATTTAATATACGAAAGTACTTAAGGAAATTTCCTGTTTCATTTTTCCTCCGTGGTCTGACATTGTCATATATATATATATGTCGTACCTAGTAGCCAGAACTCACTTCTCAGCCTACTATGCATGGCCCGATTTGCCTAATAAGCCAAGTTTTCCTGAATTAATATATTTTCTCTAAATTTTTTCTTATGAAATGATAAAGCTACCCATTTCATTATGTATGAGTTCAATTTTTTTTCATTGGAGTTAAAATTAACGTAGATATATGACCGAACCTAACCAACCCTACCTAACCTAACCTAACCTATCTCTATAAGTTAGGTTGGGTTATGTAGCCGAAAAAGTTAGGTTAGGTTAGGTTAGGTAGGTTCGGAGGCCGAAAAACAATTGATTCATGAAAACTTGGCTTATTAGGCAAATCGGGCATTGCATAGTAGGCTGAGAAGTGAGTTCTGGCTACTAGGTACGACATATATATATATATATATATATATATATATATATATATATATATATATATATATATATATATATATATATATATATATATATATTCAAATCCACTCATTACCTCACAGTGTAAGTTGTCAACAAGTGAAGCACGTGGCCGGGCTCGGGGTTACTAGATAGGAAAATAATGAACTGGGAAGTTACCTTATTAACTCTTCTGGTTCATTTCCCGAGGAAGGACTGTTGTGGGTTGCATCCTGCGAGAGGTCAGTAGCTGGTATAGTTGTACTTACCTAGTTGCGGGGGGGGGGGGGGTTGAGCTTTGGCTCTTTGGTCCCGCCTCTCAACTGTCAGTCAACTGGTGTGTACAGATTCCTGAGCCTATTGGGCTCTGTCATATCTACATTTGAAACTGTGTATGGAGTCAGCCTCCACCACATCACTGCCTAATGCATTCCATTTGTCTACTACTCTGACACTTAAAAAATTCTTTCTAATGTCTCTGTGGTTCATTTGGGCACTCAATTTCCACCTGTTTCCCCTGTGTGTATGTGTATGTGTGTCACCTGTGTCCCCCTGTGTCATCTGTGTCACCTCTGACACTGAAAAAATCTTTTTAGTGTCTCTATGGCTCATTTGGGCACTCAATTTCCACCTGTGTGTGTGTGTGTGTGTGTGTGTGTGTGTGTGTGTGTGTGGGTGTTGTAATGACCCTGATTGTAATACCTCGCCTTGTATCTATCTCGACCGCGCACTCCGCTACTACCACTGAGCTAACCGTGCAATCTCCGCTCTTTCTATGGTAATAACAGATGCTATACCGATCATATAAGATGTTAACACTCGGGCCGTCATACGAAGACGTAAACCAGTACACAGAGGAAGGAGAGAGAGAGGAAGAGGGAGGCAGAGCGAGAGGAGAGAGAGAGGAGAGCGAGAACGAGAGCAAGGGAGGGAGAACGAGAGCGAGTGAGGGCGAGGGAGAGTGAGACACTAGTGAGGGAGAGTGAGACAGAAAGATAGAGATAATCGTAGTCACAACCTATCGTATGAGTTACCGAGTGACGCTGCCACCACCCTGAGTTACCGGACAGGGGACCGGAGTGAGAGTCGTAGGTCTTGCAGATGGAGTAACCTACCAGGACAGGTGTAGGGGACAATTGAACGGTACAAGGATCCTGGCCTGACACTCGAATAATCCTGACCACTTGGGAACTATAGTGTACACAAGAATAAGGCGGGACACACCAACACTAATACCTCAACACGGAAGACGAACGGGGGGAGGAGTACTGAATAATTAAGAGCACTAGGTCACTAGGGCAAAGGGGACGGTAGGCCCAATATCACTAAAGCAAGGAACCATTAATACACATTTAATAACACTCAATATCTGACTTTATTTGAAATAATTAAATAAGACACTCCTTAACTATATTCCCTACTAGAGGCCAAGGGTACTGAATGAGGTGCTTTAGTACAAGAGAGCCGTACTTACTCGTATGTTGTTCCACAGTTTCCCTGGAGATGATGTTCTTTCCCAGAGTCCACACACACCTCCCTACTGGGCTGTGCCCACTCAACTGACTCTCCTGATCTACTGCTCCTCAGCTGAACATGAGGGTTTTGCATTTGTTGTTTAGGGGTTAATCCCTGAAGATTACCATGACGGCATCAATTCTGACCTCTTTGTGATTCGATGACCGTTGACCTGACTCTATGGCTAACTTATACAGAGGTGTAACTTTTACATTGTCTGCCGTCGCCTGACTGGCGCCTGTGGGTTGTTCATCCTCCACGTGGCCTGTTCATGCTGTTATGATGTTCATGTACTATGTACTGCTCTCTTGTTACAGTGTGGGTGTGGGTGTGTGTGTGTGTGTGTGTGTGTGTGTGTGTGTGTGTGTGTGTGTGTGTGTGTGTGTGTGTGTGTGTGTGTGGTGAGAGAGGAGGAGGGAGGGGAGTGGGGGTATACCCGAGTAAGCATAGTGGCGGCGGTGATATAACAGACGGCGGGGACCTCAATGCCAGTCAGTTCTCATGCAGCAGAGAAGTGGAGCACTACTCTCTCTCCCGCTCAGTCCACCCACCCGGCACTCTACCACCTCGCAAATTTCACTATCGCACGCGTTCCATAATCTACGCTCCATCACCATCACTCGCGGTCTATAATCTACGAGTACCATCAACTCCGAGTCCTTACTACTCTACGTGTGCCATAATCTACGAGTTCTATAGTCAACGAACCATCACTACCTTACGAGCAGCATAATCTACGAGTTCTGTCATCTACGAGCCCTTAACTACCCTACTACTCGTAGTAAGGAGAGACAGCCTCGTTGATACTACTCTCCATCACTTGGAAGATCAAGATGGAGTTGCTGGTAGCTGTTCTGGTGTCTTTGGTATCAGCCGCTTCCAGCCTGACTGGGAACGCCATCACAGGTGAGACTTTTCATGTAGTGATCATTACAAGCGCCTGGCAGGTTTTAATCTGTATTTCCTTCCCTCAAGTGCTTTGTGAGTTACATTTTTGTTGTTGTTACTGGGTTAGTTTTCATAGATGAGTCCAATAACCCAATGTTTGATGCCATACTTTTAATTCGGTTACTGAAGGAGGAAGTCAAAATATAATTCCATCCACGACAAATTGGGATTCATCGTTCGGTCGTTCAAAGAGGAAGTCAAAAGTTGACCAGACCACACACTAGAAGGTGAAGGGACGACAACGTTTCGGTCCGTCCTGGACCATTCTCAATCGACTTGAGAATGGCCCAGGACGGATCGAAAAGTCGTCGTCCCTTCACCTTCTAGTGTGTGGTCTGGTCAACTTACTTTAGCCACGTTATTGTAACTCATCGCCTGCAGGAAGTCAAAATTGTACCCCACGACAAACTTGTATCATTGTGATAGAAAACTGGTATTAATCCTTTTGTAACTTAGTGACGTGACTTCCCTCTCTCTCTCTCTCCCTCTCCTCACTCCCCGGCGTGTAGACGACAGCACGGGTGCCTCAGACGGCAGCTGCCACGCCCCCAAGGATGTGGGTAGCTGCTCAGGGCAGCAGGAGGCCTGGCACTACAGCGCTGCTGAGAGCAGGTGCATCTTCTTCGTGTATTCCGGTTGCGGAGGCAACGCCAACAGGTAAGCAACAGGCAACGCCACACAGGAGAAGGGAGATGGGGGTAAAGTATTGACCGGAAAGTTTCTTGAACGTGGATAGGGATTGAAATGCAAAGGTTGGCGATAGGAGTTTGGGTAGGGAGTGATAGGTGTCGCCTCGTAGGGCCAATAAGCCTTAAAACAATTCCTTGTTATTCTTATATAAATAGATGAAAAGGTGTTTAAAGGGAATTACTAATTAAGTGTTAAATATATCAATACGAAATAATATTCACTTTTAATATTTGGGTTCAGGAACGATTTTGGTAAATACTGGCTTGAGGAAAAGATTTGTAGATTAATGACACAAGTTCACTGATAACATAATAATACACGTGATGAAACTATTGTTTCAAGCGACAATTTGACGCATATGAATCATTCTGGTTAAATAGGAGCAGCCTTACATGGGCCAATAGGCTTTTTTCAGTTTCCACTATTGTGTCCTTACTTAAGTCTGCTGCAGGTGAATCATAGTGTTTTGAATACACATAGATAACTAAGCATTATTAGGTACAGGGTAAGCATGAGGCTGTGTTGTATAGTATATCGAGCGTAGGACGAAATAGATACTGACAAGGAGTATCTTTAATTTCATTCACAGCGATCATTATTCACTTGTGTGGGGGAGTAACTTACGCCTTGCAGGTTACTTAAGTCACGAAACGTTTTATGCTGAAATGCATAATTTTCAGTAGTAACTGAGGCATTTTATGCGAATCAGATACGGTTTATCTAAACTAGTAATCTTCAGCTTAAGAAACTGGCTGGCCATGTCTTAATTCACTCGACCTCCATTCAATAATTACTTGGCGGCGAACGATGTAACTACTGTAAATTAGATCAATAACTTTATTCGTAAAACTATATATAAATAGTTAAGATTTTATTGCAAGTATACATTATGGTTAAATTACAATTGTAGACATTATTAAACGTTTAGATTGCAATATAAGTTGTGGTATATATTGGTGAACCATTGTATAGTAGCAATAATAACCGCAGTAAGAAGTAGAACAATGTAAACAAAATGTTTACAATTTACGAGCTCATTGTTGTTTGTAAGTGGCAGTAAGAAGCTTATATAGGAGGAGTCAGTCAAATGCGAAGTCATTCAATAAGCTGAAGGACTTTGCCGTATTTTGTAAACAATCTTGCAAATGGAGTGATCGGGCTAAACAACTTTGGGGTCTAACCCATCTTTCCCAAATGTCCACCTTCCATGCTCACTCGGGACCACCCCTTTTCCTTAACGAGTTTCCCTCCTTACCCCTCTGACACGACTCCAACAATATACCTCCTTTCCTTCCCCCCATCTTTAGCACGACTGTCGGTGTATATCTGTTCTTGTCTCCCTCCCGCAGGTTCGCAAGTAGGGCGGCTTGTGAAGAAGCATGTGAGAAACCCAGGTGCCCAAACGTCGCCTGTCCGGACACCTGCTCTCGTACCCAGAGCCCCGAAGGGTGCGAGATCTGCGCTTGTACTAGAGGTAGGTTGTGGGTAAACTGGAGTCAATGTCTCGGTCCCAGATATCGTTGTTTCCTTTCACCTGATGCCTAACAGGGCTTCCTGTTAGTGGAAAACCATTTCCATCAGTGGAAAACCGTAAAGGGCTATTTGAAGCATTCCACTCACACAGTAGAAGCTTGTGAATGTGACCTCTCCTTCTTGGAAATCTGTGTGAGTGTGACCCCTTTCTGGGAGGTCTGTGAGTGTGTGCCCCTTCCCCTCTCTGCCTTTCACACCTTGCCCTGTCCACCTTTTCCCAAAGTGTGCCTACTCCTGCGCCTCTCAGCACCCACCAACAGCAAACATTAGCAACCTTTCACGTAAGGATCACTGGCCCAAAGAACACACTGTCATTCCCAGACGTCAAGTTGCTTTCTCCTCTATTCATCAACCATATTTGTCAACTCCCAGTCGCTGTCAAGTAAACTGTAATCTGATTTTATTCAAATTTCAATTCGTTCTCGACTTTAGCTTTCATGAGTATTTGCTAAAGCCTAATACAGGTAAACAGCAATGTGTACATCAAAGTAAGTTGTTAATTATCGTGTTAATTGCTAATTGTTTTGGTAAATAATAAATCTTATAGAGCTGTGAGAAATCTTATCTCTCTCTCTCTCTCTCTCTCTCTCTCTCTCTCTCTCTCTCTCTCTCTCTCTCTCTCTCTCTCTCTCTCTCTCTCTCTCTCTTTTGCTTATGGTGTTTCAATCGGCGCCAAGATTTAACCAATTATTATTAGTAATTTTATAGCAATCTGTTATCATTACTAATTCTTTTAGGTATTATTGGCATTGGCTCAAAGATATAATTGCTAATCCATATCCCGTTAAGCTTTTGATGGTTATGAACAATTCCACAGGAGCCGTGGAGAGGGTTCGAACCTATGGGTATTCTTAACTTGATGGTTATTTTGTTGCTAATGAGAGGAAGTAACGCATATATAAGGTTTGTACCTTTTGCAAGATCCAAACTGAACAAAAAGCAACGACTAAGACAGTTCAGTGGCCAGATTCACGAAGCAGTTACGCAAGTACTTACGAACCTGTACATCTTTTCTTAATCTTTGGCGGCTTTGTTTGCAATTATTTAAAAGTTAATGAGCTCCGAAACACCAGGAGGCTGTTAATAACAATAACAACAGTTGATTAGCACGTTTTCATGCTTGTAAACCGTTTAATAAATGTAACCAAAGCCGTCAAAGATTGAGGAAATATGTACAGGTTCGTAAGTACTTGCGTAACGGCTTCGTGAATCTGGCCCCTGGGCAGGTGACGAGAAAGATGCATTGTGATGATCCGAGGCAGGAAGCTTCGGAACACATCTCTCTCTGGTGATTCCCCCTTGATGACAGCGGACACCACCAGCAGCTCTCTCTCTCTTTCCCCCTGGAGACGTCGACCTTGGTGCCGTGGGCCAACTTTCTCCCTGTTAACCCAGCCGTGAATGTGTTCTGAACTGTTCACAGTTCTCACTATCAGACAAGCTGGCGTTCCTTAGTCAGCGGGGTGTCTGTGCGCAATGAAGCAGTCAAAACTGCCAGCCAATGAGCATGGACGTGACGCGGTCAATTCATCACGGATTAAGCAAGTCACGGACAACTGTTTCGTTACAAAGCACAACCATTCATGGACCTTCTTTGTTGTTAGTGTCGCGTAATCTCGCGAATGGTCGTTTCAAGGTCAAAATATTGTTGCCCGCGTCCAGTCCATGCTCGCGATTTGACAAGCGTCAAAATTGAAGTGGTTTAGTCGAACCAAGAAGCCTACAAAACTCAGGCAACCCACATATTATTTGTTTAGAAATGCTATATAGCAGGTAATTCATCGATCAATTCACTGAACTGTTTAGGACATTTATAAGCAAACTATCTCACCGTATAATATTACATTTAAATTGCAAGTGTAGTTTACAAGACACAAAGTGCAGTGAGTTATGTTTCTCCAGTTGTCAAGGAAAGTGAGACTTTAAGTGACAGGCAACCTACAATCATCTTATTAAGTATTGCTGGAAAAAAAAACGGTAAAAATCCACAGAAAATTCGAAGAATATTTGAGTAACCGGTTTTAGAAGCCAACGCAACATGAAAATGAAGCCAAAACAAACCTGACCGAAGGCTTTGCTTGAACCAGACCCAAGATGGATGTTAACATCTGGGCCACAATCGCCGCAGGCGACGTTGATTTAACATTATCTTGGATAACGCTGATTTTACGTTCATTTAATGTTACATGAGCAAGTATTCTACGTTGTTTAACGTTACATGAGCATAGGTTCTACTTTGATTTAGCGTTACAGGAGCATATTCAACATTGATATCATGTTACTGGAGCATATTTCGCCCACTGGGTTGGCTAGGCTACCTTCGTCTAGCCAACAAACAGGCCAGTGAATGGGACGCCCACACTGACGTAGCAGCCACTCCTGAGCCTGCCAGAGTCTCCTGCCAGTACAATCCTTTTTCATTCTGTTGTTTGCGTGATGTAAATAGTGTGAGATGTGCCTGTCTGGCCAGTGGGTCGAGGGTGAAGGTCCCCAGGGAGGGAGGGAGGGATCGCTGTACCCTCTACCTCGTTCCTCTCATTGGAGGGAGAGGGAGTTGTTTATATATATATATATATATATATATATATATATATATATATATATATATATATATATATATATATATATATATATATATATATATATATATATATATATATATATATATATATATATATATATATATATATATATATATATATATATATATATATATATATATATATATATGTATATATATATATGTATATATATATATATATGTATGTATATATATATATATATATATATATATATATATATATATATATATATATATATATATATACATTGTATATTGTAAATGTGTTATTGAAAGTGATAGAATGGGTGAGATCACTTCTGATTCTAGCACGAATCTTCTCTATATTGTTATGTTCCCTACTTGAGAAGGAAATTGAAAAATGAACGACGCTAAGTAGAGCGTTTCACTGATCCAGTCAACATTTTCAATGACAGGTGAAGTGGATATAAATGATCTCGAGGAACGGAATATATATAACTACTAGATAGATGACTAGATATGAAAATACTCTTATTTAATATTTATAAAAGGAGAGAAGAATTAAAATGAGTTTTCAATGTTTATAATTTTTTAATCGGAATAAGGAAAGTAAATTACAGTGAATTGATAAACCTTTAGGCTTTAGAGCCTTTGTTTATAATAATTATAATTTCCGCTGTTGAGGACAGGAAGAGGGAACTTAGAAGCAATGCAGCCCGTGACAGCTGTTTTAACTCCTAGGTGCCTATTTTACTACTAGGTGAGCAGAGGAATCAGTTGAAAGGAAACGTGCCCAACCGTATTTGACCCGCCTGGATTGTAAACCCGAGTGCCTCAGGTGTGAGCCGAGGGCGTAGACTACTGTTATCCAGCGTGGCCAGCCCTAGTCAACACCTGACTAGGTGATGACTAGAGCTGTTAACCACCTTTCACACGTGCAGTGAAAGTCAGGTGTATAATAATTTAACACGTGGAATAATTCACTAATGATTCATATATATATATACTCAATTAGACTGCCAAATCTCCTAAATTAATTAAATAATTGTGTAATTAACCCAACCCACGCATGTGAAAGTGGCGACGTTTCGATCCTTTGGGGCCAGGATTCAGAAAGCATGTACACAACCTGTTACGAAACTTGTTCATCTTTCCTTAATGATGGCCGGTTTTACATCTATTAAACAGTTTTGTGAAATGAATACTACGAGGTTGTTTATAACAATAATAAGCTTGGAGAGTGTGTGGTTGTTTCGAAGCTCGTAGAGTGTTTAATAAACAAAGCTGCCTTGATTAAGGAAAGATGTACAGATTTCGTAATTGGTCCTTAAACGTCAAACGTCTATGGTAAACTCAGAAGGGCAAGATAATCAAGGAAATTTAAAAATATATATATACTTTATTACGGGCGGAATTCAAGCAAAGAGTTGTTGAAGGGTGGTTTAGGTGTTAGGCTTGAAGCCTATCAACCTCTGAAAGGCTATTTAGATCACCACAATAGTTTACTTTCAACTAGCAAGTATACTATAGTCTAGGACTTAGGTAAACCTCTATGCACAACAAGCTAACTAAACAACTAGCAAGTCTACTTTAGTTCTTAAACATAATCGAGACTGGAAGTAAACTTGGAGTGTATACACCGAGAACCGGAGTAAATCTCTCTGTGTATATATACACTAAGAAGCTGGGTGGGCCCCTCTTGGTGTATATACACCTCCTCGGAGGGAATTGGTAGCCAGATTTAGAAAGTGTGTGCGAGGAGGTGGGTGACCCGGGAACTGAGGCTGGCGCCAGTAGGTGCCGGCCGGGGTTTAGATGCCGTTATATACGCTATGTCTATGCTTTTTTTCGTGTGATTTAGAAATGTTCCGATGATATGAACATGTTTCCTCGGGGCGAGTTCTCGAAACTTGCATATTTTTGAGATTCAAATGTCAAGGGAATATAAAATCCACATTGTTGAAGTAATAGTTTACAAGAGTATGCCAGTACAGTATCTCTGTATGTTATCTTCTTCTCTCTAGTGTTTTGTTGCAATATTATCGTTACTCTAGATTAATGAAGGAGAGGAGGTGGCTTCCATAACGTCTTCAAGTATATTCTGCTTATTGGTCGCCTGCACAGTGTACACATATTCCATTATATTTATCTGTTGTATACATTTTTACGTTTTTAACTTCCTTCTTCTAACCTGTCTTCCTAGTTTTGACCTCTTTTTTTGTGACTAGTTTTGTTGCAGATCTTTAGAATATTATACAGCCTTCTTTTTGTGTTGTGTCTTTTAAAGAGTCGCTCTAAATGCCAATCTTTTGTTTATTAGCTTCTGTTCTGCACCCTGCTGATGTTATTCTGTTTAGGTGCGTTACCCAACCTGTGCTCTAGAGTTGCCACACCGTAAAATATTCAACTATTTTATCTTTATTTAAGAAAATACAATATAAATCATATATACATAAGTTTTACAAGGCAATACTATATTACATATACAGTAGTATAATTCTCAGTGAACAAATAATTTATTTCTGTAAGCAGAAAGTTGTTCTTGTAAACTGGATTAGAGACACTCTTAAAGCATTATGTGAACCAAGTATTAGAGTGGAGTTAATGAGGTTTTTAATGTTTCATATTGACATGAAATGCAAGAAAATTAAGAATATAATAATTATGTCACTTTCTGATTACATTTTTTGTGTGTGGATAGGCAGGCAGGAGGGTTACTCAGTAGACAGAATATTGAAGTTCTTGCGAGGCAGGATCAAGTATAACATTTGGGGTTTAAGGCTCATGCTCGGTGATGATATGGAAAATTGGTTTACTGAGAATTATATAAAATATATATAAATGTAATAATTTTCCCTTGTAAATTAATGTAAATATAATCTCCAATGTTGTAAATTATTTAAAGAAAAATAAGTATAACATTTAGGGGTTTTAAAGATCATGTTCTGTGATAATGAAACTATTTTATCTGAACGTACCAGCAGCTTACCAAGTGAAGCAACGCACCTACCCCTTTTGAGGCCAATGCATATGCTGGTATCATGTCTATTTCCAAGCATTCTCTCCTTCTGATTCCTGTAGCAGTCTTTCAACTATGGTATAATATCCTTCAGTTTTCTTTCATATCTTGTTATCTATACTATCTTTCATTTACTGCGACTGAATTCGAGCAGCTGTTGTCTGACCATTCTTGCAGTTTGCCAAGTCATTCTAAATGTTAAAACATTAATATGTATGAACTCACCCACTCAGGTAAATCGGTCAAATTGATTAGGAATAACGAAGAGAACCCAGGATCGAGCCTTGTGGGACCCTCAACTTCATCCTTTATACTTAATATTTATCTTTAGTGACTTTCTCTCTAAACTCTGACATGTGTTTCAGAATATATCTCCTCTGTTTCCTGCCTGTTAGGTATTCTCTGTATTAGTTCAGTGCTCTTCAAGTTGTCACAGCTTTTCTCTCAATCTTTATTTATACAAGTCATTTGTGAGTAATGATATGGAATGGATTTTGGGAGCTTAGACAAATACAGTCTATCGAATCATCTCTCTTCTTAGACAAATACAGTCTATCGAATCATCTCTCTTCTGCTTTATAATGGTAACTATGTCATAGAATTGTATCAAGATAGTCAGATTCTACTTATCTCTTCTAAAACTGTTGCACCATTCTCTTCCTGATTATTTTTCTAATACTGTTCCCGGAATGTTTGCGAAAATGGTGAGTAGTCTGTAAGGTGCAGATATGAGGTGTGTGGTAAGGACAAAGGTTATATTAAACTGCTATGATTTGTTACAAGCCTTCTTAAAGGTCAGCTTCCTTTCCCTTGTGACGGGAGAGTACCCGGGCGTGGCCGGACTCTGACAGTGTCGAGATGTTGCTCTGGGTCCCAGCCTAGACACTCACTGGACACTCTCGCTCCTCGCCTTAACTATAGTCTCTTGAAGTCCAACATTTTTAGCTTGTCCTCGTAACAGGTTTTAAAATCGTGAGCGCCCATGAGTCGGCTTTTATTGGGAGACGCCAGTTGAACCTAGTTCGTAAGGGTTACCTTAATTCAATGTTTTAACAGAATAATATGTGGATTATTTTCTGGCTAGATGATCGCTCGATCCCCAGGTTGGTCTGCTGATTAATAAGTCTGATATAGAGAAGGAGGAAAAGGTGACCCAGCGGAAGGCACAAGTGGGCAGGCAATATTGACCCTTGCTGCTGGAGAGTCCAGGGAAGCGAGTTCGGTCCCATAACACTCCCTCACTGTGCACTGCTAACTCTCCGTCATTTGAATGTTTCAGATGAGGCTCGCGCAGTGTGCACGGAGCAGTCGAAGCGAGGCTACTGCCGCGCCCTTTACCACAACTGGGCCTGGGATAACCAGGAGCACCGGTGCGTCCAGTTCCTGTACGGCGGCTGTGGGGGCAACCAGAACAACTTTGAGACGGAGGAAGAGTGCATGAGAGTGTGTTCTGGTGTGTAGCTCCGAGGCAAGCACCGGAAGTGGGTGACTTCTTTGCAGTTCCAAGATGTTTCGAAAAAAAGACAAATCCATTCGTTATTTTATTTCAGTTTGTTTACATAAAAATGTTTTTGTTGTACATCTTGCAATAATCTGGTATTATTTATAGCAAAACAGATACAATTCGAAAGCTATTGCAGTTCTGATGGTAGGAACCACTAACTTAGATAAATTATTAACTATCTCAGTATGAGGCTGCGAGAGGATCTAAGACACAATAATAATATTAATAATAATAATTTATTTATACAAATACAGAACATCAGATTACAGTAGTTACTTGGGACGTACAGTATGTGTATATGCTTCTTATACCAGTCGATATTCGACTGGTATAGTGTGCCGGAAGTTTGTCATGTAACACTGTGTATAATTAGACGAAAAATTGTGAATATTAACGAAAAGTCGGCGCGACCGTGTTAAGTCAGTTGGTGAACACTAAATTCACTGGTAAATTCCTTGTTTACGTTCAAAAGTCTAAATTCTTAGAGGGTACCAATGCCTGCCTCTAATCGACTCTTTAATAATCTATAATTATGATAAAATTGTCCTCCTATTCTAGGTGTTGTAGGCGGACAGTGTTGTGTTAGTAACACCTCCCTGTGTCGTGAGGGTGCAGGATGTAGCAACACTGTCCTGTGTGCTAATGTTTATCATATAATGTTTAGAATGATCCCAAACAACACTCCCTCTCCCCTCCTCCCTTTCCGTGTACCAATGTTTGTGTTGTAAAGGTTAGAATGATGACCCTAGAGTGTACCCTGTGTACCAATGTTTGTGTTGTAAAGCTCAGAATGATGACCCTAGAGTGTACCCTGTGTACCAATGTTTGTGTTGTAAAGCTCAGAATGATGACCCTAGAGTGTACCCTGTGTACCAATGTTTGTGTTGTAAAGGATAGAATGATGACCCTAGAGTGTACCCTGTGTACCAATGTTTGTGTTGTAAAGGATAGAATGATGACCCTAGAGTGTATACCCTGTGTACCAATGTTTGTGTTGTAAAGGTCAAAATGATGACCCATAGCAACAACAGCCCCCCTGTGTACCAATATTTACAAAGTTCGTTAAGTTACCATTAGTGTGGAGTGCAGTTAGTTCTTCGTAATCATCCCGTATTATGTAAAATCTGTAGTTTGAAGACTGTGTACCTGTACCATTAATTTTTTATTTTTTATTTTTTTGGCTGAAACACCAAGATAAAATCACATAAGAGTATAATTATAATTTACTTATCCGCGGATGATTATCAAAAACACTGATCTTCGAATGTGCACTAAACATAGATATTCCTGAACACAATTCCGTCTTATAATGAACTTCTTCGTTTCTTCAGAGAGGCGGTTAATTAGCCTTTTAGGATATTTATATATATATGTTTGCTGTTATTTTTATTAGGAGTTTAATTATTTTCCTTTGAGTTTGTTGACATATTATTATTATAATTATGGCCTTGCTTGTAAGATATTGAGGCTCAGCTTGTAGTCATGACTTGTGATAATGTGGTTTAAGTTACCAATCGTGTACAACATGCATAATTGTTTTAATAAAGCTCGTTAAAAACTTCACACACAATTGTTTTGTTTTTAATCACAGTAATTGTCTCTCCACAGCTCCGATAATACGGAAATGTTGTTTAATTATCCTATTAAAAATCATCTGAACCTTTCCTGGATACATTCAATAGTTTATACATCACATAAATCCTTTCCCCTATTGCAGCCCCTCTTCCCTTCTCCTCCCTTATTCTATCTTTCCCTTCATCAACCCCTTGTCTTCCCACTCTACCCTCATCATCATCGTGTCCTCTCTCATCTTCCACCGTCCCTACTTTACCCCTCATCATCCCCCTGTCCTTCCCTCTCACCTCTCATCTTACATCTTCATTATTCTCTATCTTCATCACTGCAACCGGAATAAATTCAGTTCACTCTTTTCGAGTAAATTCTGAAAATGCACTGGTAAACTCTACGGAAAACACTGCGCGATTTCGTTCACTGATTTCATTACACTTGCACTTAGGATTTAGGTGGGGAGGAGAAGGATTACAGTCTAATATTTCTTAAAATCTTTAGCTTAGGGCGACCACGTCCGTCCTATACCCCAGACCATTTCCCCTGCAAGGTTTGATGAGGCTAGCCCTAAGCATCTGGCCTCCAATTTTGGACAAACAAAACGTGCTACATAGCCTTCCCGGCTTGGTGCCTTCTTTTGATAATAACTTACTTATATAGTATAGATTCACGAGACAAGTGAAATTTAAAGGTATAGTTTGTATGATGAGTTTTAATTTGACACTATCATCCAGGCTGTGATTCATACGTCAGGCTGCGAGCAGCCGCGTCAAACAGCCTGGTTGATAATCCCTGCAACCAGGAGGCCTGGTTAGGGACCGGGCCGCGGGGACGCTAAACCCCGAAATCATCACAAGGTAACCGCAAGGTAAGGGACATTTACTGCAAACTGATTAGTATACTCAGCACCAAGTGCATGTACATTATATACGTGACAGGTGTAGCCTCTTCTGTCAAAATATTTAATATTACCTATGTGAAAATAATTTGCAATTAATATTAATATTAGACTGTTGGTGTATAAGTGTACATATGAAAATAGCAAAAATGTACATGTTCATTGTGAAAGTGTACATGTGTACATTCTCAAAATGTACGTATGTACATGGTACAAACTGACGTTGAATTTCCACTTCCTGCTTCGAAGCCTTTACCATGGGTTTACAAGTACCAAGAGACAAGAGTATTGCCTGGCAACCGTACACCGGGCCGAGGAGGATGCGGATTCGACACGTAAATCCTCTTTTTGCTGCATATGAGGATGGTGAAGGCGTGGTGAGGTGTTTTACCCGGGAGCCGTTGGCGACCGGCCTGTTGGCAGCTCATTCTGTACGTCCAGACCCATCTGGACACGCGCAAGACTGGTTTGAAGCATTGGCTTATCACGTGATAGAGAGAAAGACAGACAGACAGAAAGAGACAGCGAGAGAGATATTTCCTCTTCCATTTACTGTCACAAACAGTCGGTAGAAAGTCTGGCTGTAATTACCTGCAGGGTTTTGGTGATAATTAAGCGTGTGTGTGTGATACTCTTGTGTCCTGGCCTGGTTGCCTCTGTGTTGACCTGCTTCCATTCCTTATCTACTCCTATTTCCTAGCCTGCCCGACCAGTGACTTGCCTGCCTAACTGCTTCCTGGCTTGCCTGCCTGACAACTCACTAGCTTTCCTGCCTGACGAACTATCTCATCTCTCCAACTTAACTACCAACTTGACTGCTGCTTGACCACTGATTTGCATGCTTCACGCTTCACTCCTTGACCTGCCCTGCCTGCAGCTACATCAACTCTCTCTCTCCGTCACAACAATACACAGAGCAGGTCTTTAGCTTGCCTGTACAGCTCCTTCACAACTCTCTCGAGTAGAATTTCAATATATATATATATATATATATATATATATATATATATATATATATATATATATATATATATATATATATATATATATATATAAAAATTTTTTATTTTTTTTATATATATATATATATATATATATATATATATATATATATATATGTCGTACCTAATAGCCAGAACGCACTTCTCAGCCTACTATGTAAGGCCCGATTTGCCTAATAAGCCAAGTTTTCCTGAATTAATATATTTTCTCAATTTCTTTTCTTATGAAATGATAAAGCTACCCATTTCATTATGTATGAGGTCAATTTTTTTTTATTAGAGTTAAAATTAACGTAGATATATGACCGAACCTAACCAACCCTACCTAACCTAACCTAATCTATCTTTATAGGTTAGGTTAGGTTAGGTAGCCGAAAAAGTTAGGTTAGGTTAGGTTAGGTAGGTTAGGTAGCCGAAAAACAATTAATTCATGAAAACTTGGCTTATTAGGCAAATCGGGCCTTGAATAGTAGGCTGAGAAGTGCGTTCTGGCTATTAGGTACGACATATATATATATATATATATATATATATATATATATATATATATATTTATTCACAAACAATGAATAACCTCTATGTTTGTTCATAAAAATTGCTCAGATTTCCCCCCTATACATTACGAATGTACTTAATGATTATAATAAGAGCAATTATATGGACAATGTAATAATAGGGAACATTAGCGACTGTGGCGGTCAGAAGGTGAACTACACTATGGGGTTAACAACTAGGGCATTATAGACTACCGAAGGTGAGTTGACACTCAGGTCTCCCACTTCCTAAAATAAACAACAGGGGACATTTTGAAGACTAGGGCGCACCAGGCTCGGAGGAAATTGATTTAATTTTTTAATTTTGCCCCGAGGGGCGAGTTTATTGGGCAGCGCCACTCATCTTGTGAGTGAACATACTGCCATAGCAGCATGTACAACACTCCCCAATAGGAAGAAAACCCGCTGGGTTGTTCATCCTGTCACTTGTACCCAGACACAGCTGGGACTTGCTTAACTGTCTCAAGTGAACAGCTCCTCAAACAAGAAGATTAACATTTATCAACCCTTAAAAGCTTACGTTATCTTGCGGGTGCAAAATGGGGAAATCTTTTAAGAACAGTATCAATATTTGACAAATAGTGTTTTCCTAATTCAAACAATGTGGGGTTTATTATTCTACAGTTATTCCTAATGTCTCTCAGGTGTTCACATTCACGTAGATAGTGGTCAAGGCGGTGTCCATCACTCTCACCACAGATTCTGCAACTTCGCTGATCAACTGTTGTTTCCATTCCAAATCTCCATGGATATTTGTATCCAAGACGGATTCTCGCTATTACAGATTCTCTCCCTCGTCGTCCTCCTCTTCGGCCATACTGATTGGGATTGCCAGCTGCAACCATGTTGTACCATCGTACAGATTCACTGGTTTGTGCTTCTATCCTCCTTTCCTCAGTTACCTTGTCACGGTGATGTTGCCTGATAATACCTCTAATTTGTAGTTGAGTCTTGGGTATGAAGTATTCAATATGGTCTCCTTCAGCGCCTTCAGCAGCCAGCACATCTGCTCGTTCATTCCCACATATTCCAACATGGGAGGGGATCCACAGAAACTTGATGACTCTTCCCTGATTGGTAAGTACTCTCACAGCTCTCTTGATTTCAGCGACTATTGCAAGATTTTCTGCCTGATTTTTACTTAGGCTTTGCAGTGCTGCTTTTGAATCGGTGCAAATCACTGCACCATTAGTGTTCCGTTCAAGAAACCTTAACGCCATAACAATGGCAGTTAGCTCTGCTTGCGTTGAAGAGGCATAGTTCTCAATACGTGCTTTTTCTTCATTTCTGCGTTGGAAGGTATTATCCTTGATTACCGTGTATGCTGCACCAGCCCTGCCATTGATAGGATTAGATGACCCGTCAGTGTAGATTTGATCTAGTTCATCTCCGGCTTCTTTATAAATGTCCTCGAGATACTTGTGCCTCATTTCTTGTGGTATCATGTTGGATTTTTTCATTGCCATTTCATTGATGATGATCTTGCATGAGTCATCCTCCCAGGGAGGTAACCTCTCTACAGGCAGGAGCTCACGGGCTTGCTCAAGCAGGTGAAGCTCTTCAAGGTAGCAGACTGCTCTGTGATGCCATTTTTTGCTTCTCCTGTTTCCCCCTGAAAGTAGCGCAGAGCTCAGTTTTTTCTTGGCAATATCATTGTAATGGGGATCTCTGGCTATCCTAATTGCAAGCTTAGCAATCAGATCCTGAATTCTGCTTTTAATACTGGGAAGGGACAACTCCTCTCGTAGATTAGACGTTTTGGCAGTTCTTGGGACTCCAAGAATGATTGTCATGGCTTCATTTTGAATGCTTTCAAGCCTTTTCATATCGCTTTGGGAGTAGGTGCACAGTACTGGTGCGGCATAGTCTATGACGGAGCGCACATAGGCTGTGTACATCATTTTGAGCACGGCAATAGAGGCTCCATGTCCATTCCAGGTCATAGCTTTCAGTGCCCTGAGTCGACTTTTGCATGTTCCTATGAGTTGATTGAGCTCCTCTTTCTTTCCCTTGTTAGAGCCGACAGTGACGCCAAGGTACCGGTAGTGGTCAACCCATTCAAGTGTTACACCATTAATTTACAGTTCTTCATTTGCTCTCCGCTTGTGATGGGAGTATGCCTTCGTCTTGTTTGTGGAGAGAGTGAAACCGAGCTCAATACATTTCCTTCCGAGGAGTTCAATGGACTGTTCAATTTTTCCCAAGGTGGGAGCTTGTATTAGGACATCATCTGCATATCCCACTTGTTGTGTTCCTTCCGGAAAATCAATATTTGCAATGGCGTTCATAAGTACATTGAATAGTGTAGGGCTTAAGACTCCGCCTTGGGGGGTCCCGAGTTCCATATTCATTGTTCTGGAGACTGCTCCATTGAAGCAAACCTTGGCTTTTCTTCCTGTGAGGTAGTCTTCAACCCATTTCATGAGTCTCCCCTTGACACCCATGCATGCAAGCTCGTCCAGGATCGCAATCCCCTGTGCTTTGTCGAAGGCTCCTTTGATGTCAACAAATACAGAGTACCTAGCCGTGTCATTAGCCAAGTA